CCCCTTTAAACAAACTCATAAGGGTTCTATGAGTTTTGCTATGGGGGCTGTTTATATCTTTACATTCGAATTTTTAATAAATTTCTACAGACTAGGAATGAAGAAAGATGTCATTGCCAGATCTAGCTTGTGGTTTATAACTCTCCTGGATCTCACATTATACTCAATCTATAATTTTTGAAAATCTGCTTACTTCTTATATTTAATCTTCTATTATCTTCCAATTTTAAAAGACCTATTAGATGATACGTTTTCCAATATTAAATCTTCTAAAGTCTTACTAACATCGGTGTTGAATCTAGTTTCACTTCTAAACTATGTAATTAGTTTAGCCCATCAATTAGCCTCAGTTTTAAGATAGGCTGAAAAACCTATCTTTTAAGACTCCCTTAACAGCTAAAAATGATCTCTCTGTAAACTTACTCGCAGAATGTTATTGTTCCACTTCTTCGAAGCAGTTTAGTACAAATGTTTTAGACCATAAATAAGGTAGAATCAGGTGCCATGTAACTATAAAAATCTACCTGAATTCTATCGTTCATAAATGACTTCATCAATACTCTAAGCATTTTTTTAATTTTCTAATTCACTTTCACCCTAATTAGTCTTATTCAAGAATAATGCTGAATTGTTTATGATGGATTATTTTAAATTGCCTATTAATATTTTAAATATTTTCTTAAACAGAAGATTTCTAAATTTAAATATCTGCCTTAATACCTACGTGTTATATATTATGCTCCGAAGGCTTTATTTACTTTTAGTTTTGAATCTGATTTTTAATGAGGGTTTATCTATTCTTTAAAATTAACCCTGTGTTGGAAAAATAATTGGAAAACCTTCCATTTCTTTATACCTAAACTATACAGATCAATTCTATCAAAAGAGAAGTGGTGAAATCATAACCAAATCTATGATCACTTGGGTCATACTTGGCCAAAACAGCTTTAAAAGTAATTTACTTAATTGGTTTCACTCTAATCAAATCATTTTCTTTGATTTAAGGTATCAAAGAGGTAAAATCATGATCTCAAATCTTGTAATCGTGTTCATACTTGAGTTTACATAACCAGATCTGCTAAACTGAAAGACTGAAATTGAAAACTATCTATATGAAATATTTTTCGTGGTCTCTCATTTACTAATGATCAAAGAAACGAGCTCTATTTTACAAAAGCATGAAATATGCTGAAATTAGCAATTTTTATCAAGAAAAGAGAAATTATATGAAAATTCCAAAGTTTCAGTTTTCAACCTATTTTGATTTTTGTTTCACATTTTATAAGCAACTTTGTTTCAAATCCTTTTATGTAAAATTTTTTTAAAGCAGAATTCAAAGTTATTAATGAGGTTGAATTATAAAGTGCATTTATTTATTGAATTGAGCCTAATTACAAATAATGAGAGAAGAAAGTTCAATATAATAACAAAGTAATTTGATGGCTATTATTCAAAAATTTAATTAATCTATGAAAATGATAAATGATATGTATTTAATAACATAGTAAATCGTTTAATGATAAATTTTCCCAATTTATTTATTGGTCAAAATATTCAATCTATAATTTCAAGTTCTCAAATAAGCGATCAGTTGTAAATTATGTCTATCCACACTTTCTAAATATTTTATGGAATTTCTTATAAACTCAATTCTAAAAATTCATAATTATGATAAGTTGAATTTATTTGAAATTATTGAGAAAAAATTTATTAAAACTCAAATTGAATCAGATTTTCAAAAGATTATAAACCCTTAAAATATTTTTAATTTTCAATATTTTCCTAATTTCAATTTAATAATAAATTTATAAATAAAGACTTATATTGACATGACTGCGATCAAAAAAATTTAATATTTTTCAATTAAATATTTATTTTTAATTTTTTATTATATTATAATTTTCTGGATTTTTAAGACTTTATATGTAACATCAAAAATATATTAGAAATAATTTGATGATTGCTAAAAGTAAAAAATGCTTAGAAAATAAAAAATAAATTTGAATTATTTTCGATTACTTTATCAA